TTACATGAACACAAAATATTAAAAGCCATTAGAAAAACTGACTTGAAGTACTTACACACACATATACACAGAGATGATTGTCATGCCCTTCAAGAAGACCTGGACAAAATAAGTATATGGAGCACCACTTGGCAAATGGAATTTAATGTTAATAAATGCCATGTTATGGAATGTGGAATAGGAGAACATAGACCTCACACAACCTATATATATTATGTGAGAAATCTTTAAAGAATTCTGATAAGGAAAGAGATCTAGGGGTGGTTCTAGATAGAAAACTATCACCTGAGGACCACAAAGAATATTGTGCGAGGAGCCTATGCTATGCTTTCTAACTTCAGAATTGCTTTTAAATACATGGATGGCGATATACTAAAGAAATTTTTCACGACTTTTGTTAGGCCAAAGCTAGAATATGCAGCAGTTATGTGGTGCCCATATCTTAAGAAGCACATCAACAAACTGGAAAAGGTGCAAAGACATGCTACTAAGTGGCTCCTAGAACTGAAGGGTAAGAGCTACGAGGAGAGGTTAGAGGCATTAAATATGCCAAAACTAGAAGACAGAAGAAAAAGAGGTGATATGATCACTACATACAAAATAGTAACAGGAATTGATAAAATCGATAGGGTAGATTTCCTGAGACCTGGAACTTTAAGAACAAGAGGTCACAGATATAAACTAGCTAAACACAGATGCCGAAGAAATATAAGAAAATTCACTTTCGCAAACAGAGTGGTAGACGGTTGGAACAAGTTAGGTGAGAAGGTGGTGGAGGCCAAGACCGTCAGTAGTTTCAAAGCGTTATATGACAGAGTGCTGGGAAGACGGGACACCACAAGCGTAGCTCTCATCCTGTAACTATACTTAGGTAATTACACACACACACGAGAATTAACAGAGCCAACAACAAACACAGGCAACCTTCAAGCCCCATGACAGACTGGGTGCCGACATCTGACACTCGGTGATGCTGTAGCCAACACAACCCAAACACACCAGCCCAAACATCCTCTTATGTGCAACCACCACACTTTATATTCCCATAAATGCCACCCCACACACCTTACAAAAATCCCTTAGTACTGTATTTTACTACAGTGGTAATTAGTTATATAAAAAAAATTGTATTTCAATCAATTACATTTTAAAACTTGAGAAAATTAATGTTATTAGAAAGCAGCAAGGTAGTTACAGCCTGGACCCCTATACCCATCCTGTGGGTGGTAGTGGACCCCCCCCATACCCACCCTGTGGGTGAAAGTGGACCCCCATACCCACCCTGTGGGTGGTAGTGGACCCCCCATACCCATCCTGTGGGTAGTAATGGACCCCCCATACCCACCCTGTGGGTGGTAGTGGACCCCCCATACCCACCCTGTGGGTGGTAGTGGAGCCCCATACCCACCCTGTGGGTGGTAGTGGAGCCCCATACCCACCCTGTGGGTGGTAGTGGAGCCCCATACCCACCCTGTGGGCGGTAGTGGAGCCCCATACCCACCCTGTGGGCGGTAGTGGACCCCCATACCCACCCTGTGGGCGGTAGTGGACCCCCATACCCACCCTGTGGGCGGTAGTGGACCCCCATACCCACCCTGTGGGCGGTAGTGGACCCCCATACCCACCCTGTGGGCGGTAGTGGACCCCATACCCACCCTGTGGGCGGTAGTGGACCCCCCCATACCCATCCTGTGGGCGGTTGTGGACCCCATACCCACCCTGTGGGTAGTAATGGACCCCCCATACCCACCCTGTGGGTGGTAGTGGACCCCCATACCCACCCTGTGGGTGGTAGTGGACCCCCATACCCACCCTGTGGGTGGTAGTGGACCCCCATACCCACCCTGTGGGTGGTAGTGGACCCCCATACCCACCCTGTGGGTGGTAGTGGACCCCCATACCCACCCTGTGGGCGGTAGTGGACCCCCATACCCACCCTGTGGGCGGTAGTGGACCCCATACCCATCCTGTGGGTGGTAGTGGACCCCATACCCATCCTGTGGGTGGTAGTGGACCCCCATACCCACCCTGTGGGTGGTAGTGGACCCCATACCCATCCTGTGGGCGGTAGTGGACCCCATACCCATCCTGTGGGTGGTAGTGGACCCCATACCCACCCTGTGGGCGGTAGTGGACCCCCATACCCACCCTGTGGGTGGTAGTGGACCCCATACCCATCCTGTGGGCGGTAGTGGACCCCATACCCATCCTGTGGGTGGTAGTGGCCCCCATACCCACCCTGTGGGTGGTAGTGGACCCCATACCCACCCTGTGGGTGGTAGTGGACCCCATACCCACCCTGTGGGTGGTAGTGGACCCCCATACCCACCCTGTGGGTGGTAGTGGACCCCCATACCCACCCTGTGGGTGGTAGTGGACCCCCATACCCACCCTGTGGGTGGTAGTGGACCCCATACCCACCCTGTGGGTGGTAGTGGACCCCATACCCACCCTGTGGGTGGTAGTGGACCCCCATACCCATCCTGTGGGTGGTAGTGGACCCCCATACCCACCCTGTGGGTGGTAATGGACCCCCCATACCCACCCTGTGGGTGGTAATGGACCCCCCATACCCACCCTGTGGGTGGTAATGGACCCCCATACCCACCCTGTGGGTGGTAATGGACCCCCCATACCCACCCTGTGGCTGGTAGTGGACCCCCATAAACACCCTGTGGGTGGTAGTGGAGCCCCATACCCACCCTGTGGGTGGTAGTGGACCCCCATACCCACCCTGTGGGTGGTAGTGGACCCCATACCCATCCTGTGGGTGGTAGTGGACCCCCATACCCATCCTGTGGGTGGTAGTGGACCCCCATACCCACCCTGTGGGTGGTAGTGGACCTCCAATACCCATCCTGTGGGTGGTAGTGGACCCCATACCCATCCTGTGGGTGGTAGTGGACCCCATACCCATCCTGTGGGTGGTAGTGGACCCCATACCCACCCTGTGGGCGGTAGTGGACCCCATACCCATCCTGTGGGTGGTAGTGGACCCCATACCCATCCTGTGGGTGGTAGTGGACCCCATACCCATCCTGTGGGTGGTAGTGGGCCCCATACCCATCCTGTGGGTGGTAGTGGCCCCCATACCCATCCTGTGGGTGGTAGTGGACCCCATACCCATCCTGTGGGTGGTAGTGGCCCCCATACCCATCCTGTGGGTGGTAGTGGCCCCCATACCCATCCTGTGGGTGGTAGTGGCCCCCATACCCATCCTGTGGGTGGTAGTGGACCCCATACCCATCCTGTGGGTGGTAGTGGACCTCCAATACCCATCCTGTGAGTGGTAGTGGCCCCCATACCCATCCTGTGGGTGGTAGTGGACCCCATACCCATCCTGTGGGTGGTAGTGGCCCCCATACCCACCCTGTGGGTGGTAGTGGACCCCCATACCCACCCTGTGGGTGGTAGTGGACCCCCATACCCACCCTGTGGGTGGTAGTGGACCCCATACCCACCCTGTGGGTGGTAGTGGCCCCCCATACCCACCCTGTGGGTGGTAGTGGCCCCCATACCCATCCTGTGGGTGGTAGTGGACCCCCCATACCCACCCTGTGGGTGGTAGTGGACCCCATACCCATCCTGTGGGTGGTAGTGGACCCCCCATACCCACCCTGTGGGTGGTAGTGGACCCCCCATACCCACCCTGTGGGTGGTAGTGGACCCCCCATACCCACCCTGTGGGCGGTAGTGGACCCCCCCATACCCATCCTGTGGGTGGTAGTGGACCCCCCATACCCACCCTGTGGGTGGTAGTGGACCCCCCATACCCACCCTGTGGGTGGTAGTGGGCCCCATACCCATCCTGTGGGTGGTAGTGGCCCCCATACCCATCCTGTGGGTGGTAGTGGACCCCATACCCATCCGTAGTGGACCCCCCATTCCCACCCCGTGGGTGGTAGTGGACCCCCCATACCCACCCTGTGGGTAGTAATGGACCCCCCCATATCCATCCTGTGGGTGGTAGTGGACCCCCCATTCCCACCCCGTGGGTGGTAGTGGACCCCCCATACCCACCCTGTGGGTAGTAATGGACCCCCCCATATCCATCCTGTGAGTGGTAGTGGACCCCCCATACCCACCCTGTGGGTAGTAATGGACCCCCCCATATCCATCCTGTGGGTGGTAGTGGACCCTATGCCCATACCATACCCATTTTGCAAGCAGTAATGGAAAAACTTTACAAGGCACATAATAGGTTCGGGAACTGAACCCCAAAATTCAAGTTGGGGGTTCAAAATTGAAAAATGGCAAGTTAGTCTTCATATGCTAGTTATACAGTTTTTAGTGAATTATTATATCAAGAAAGGGTATAAGACCCGTTGTCTTCTCAAATAATACACCACTTACTGATATCAAAATCCACAATGGATAAAATATAATGTGTACAATACTGTACTATAAATAGCAACTTGCAAAAAGTTCACGTTTTCTATGCGGGCAATTTCGTACTAGCATTTTCTGTCCATTTTGATGACTCGAGAGGACAGGTTGCAAGATCGCTCACAGTCTCTAAGCTAAGCAACTTGTATAAACATTGAGCTAATTTGATACGCTTATCATGCACACCGCCCCTCATCCAGTAGGCAACAGTGGAAAGGTTACAATCATCTGCATTTATTACTCCACTTGGGAAACTGGGCATATTTTTGTTAACATTTCTCAGATAAGATCTTTTTTAATTAAATATTTACACAATTCTTGAATTGCATCCTGAGGGTGCAATTTTATTGCCCCCTCAGGATGCAATAAAATTGCAGACCTGTCTTATTTTCTGTATTAAGTAGTGGACCCCCCATATTACTTTATTTTGCAGACCTGTCTCTAAAGTCATGTATATTTTAGCACTCAATCACACAGCGATGGTGTGTGTGTGTGCAAATAATTTCGCCGACACCGTTTACATTCGGTCAGACCTACATCAGAATACAAATACACACTCAAAAAGAACTTCAAAAGCCTCTTCGGACACAACTAAATTAAATGATCATACTTACTTGACGGTTCGAGAATGCCCGGTAGAGGTACACACCACCGATGATGCCAATGCTCATGACCATCAGAGCAGTGATGAACACGCAGATGGTGGTAGCGGTGGAGACCCGTCGGCGAGCACTGGAAGAGAGCCAGGCCTCGACGTCACCATTGTTGGGGTCCAGGACAGTGTGGTCTACCCCACATTCTGTGCCCTGAAAGCAGCAACAAGCAATCAATTACTATTCAGCCAATGACACACATTGCCTTCAATTATATACCATCAAAATAGTGCAAATAAAAATGATTGCAATTCAGGTTGTCCACTATAGAAAACACTCGCATTATAGACGTGACGCACCTTCCTGTCATTATAGACGACACGTACTGTTATCATAATTACGGTTATTGTGGCATTAATGGAGGTAATTGTGCTCAGAATGGCAACAGTGGAGGTAATTTTGGCACTGGTGAAAATAATTGTTGTGGTACAGGTAACTGTTTAGGTGGTGCCAGAAGGCTAATGGTTGTAGTGGTAATAATGATGGTTGAAGTGGTTGGTGAAGCGGACTGCTGCTGGTTGTGGTGATAGCAACAGTGGTTGGTGGTGGTGGTGGTGGTGGTGGTGGTGGCTGCTGATGGTGGTGATGGTGGCAGTGACTAGTGGTTATGGTTGTGGTGGTGATAGCCGCAGTGAATAGGGGTTGTTGTGGTGGTATGGGTGACTAGGGGTTGTAGTGGTGGTAGTGATGGTAGGAGTGACACTGGTAGCGGAGGCAACAGTGACAAGGTCAGGATAGCAATCTTGGCAGGTATACTGGCAGAAGCAGTCACAAGGACTTTTAACTTCTGCAGTCTGTTTAAACAACAACAAGGCAGCAATGGGATATTGTAGAGACAGAATACAAACGTAATTACAAGAAATCATTCTGCCATTCAGAGCATAACAATGCACATCACACCTATCGTGTCAACAATACCAACATGCAGCAAACTGATGAATAGTCAAATGGACCTTTGACTTCAGCGAAAAGAAAGTGATCATTCAACTGTACAAATATCTGGTGTGCCCCATTTGAACTACTAAATCTAAGCATGATAACTTCATCTTCATGAGGACATTATTGCTTTGAAGTACTGTATAAAACAGATTGATAAAAAATCAATCCAGAACTAAGTCGGGTTGCAAGATCAGGACAGGTTGGAGGGGAGGGAGCCGGTCGGCCGAGTGGACAGCACGCTGGACTTGTGATCCTGTGGTCCTGGGTTCGATCCCAGGCGCCGGCGAGAAATAATGGGCAGAGTTTCTTTCACCCTATGCCCCTGTTACCTACCAGTAAAATAGGTACCTGGATGTTAGTCAGCTGTCACGGGCTGCTTCCTGGGGGTGGAGGCCTGGTCGAGGACCGGGCCGTGGGGACACTAAAGCCCCGAAATCATCTCAAGATAACCTCAAGAAGTCTACTCTCATGCTGGGAACGGATTGAGGTCACAGGATTAACACTACAAACCAGACGTGAAGTGGCTGATCTCGGAGATCTTTAAAATCCTGATCAAGTTATATTAATCCAGTCCACTAGTTTAAAAGGCCAGAGTAACACATGCAAAGGCAACAGCTTCAGGCTCATCTAGCCACAATGTAGGACAGAAAACAGGAGATGCTTTTTTACCAATAGGGTTATAAACCCATGGAATCGCCTACATGCCTGAACCATAATTGCCAAGCCATCACTATAGTTCAAAATCAAGTTGGAAAAAAGTATAAGAAAAAAATGGGGATGACCTTTGATAAGCCACCACGCTTCCTGTCCCCATGGAGGCCACTCGAGATGGTGGCCATCAGGTAAATTCAACAGCAGTACACTGGCCCATCAATTTTCTTAGTGTCTTAATACACAAATTGTAGGAGCAGGAGGAATATGATGAATCAATCTTAAGAGCACTCTTGTGTACAAAAGGGGTTGATCCGGTAGCTCCTGCAAAGATATGGCTAAACAGACTTAAGTGACCTTTCAGTTGAATATAAAATTAGGGATTATAAACTTTCCAGATAAAACTGGTAAGATGAAGTGGCAATATCTGTGAGGGACAAACTCACAAGGACTATATCTGTGAGGGACAAACTCACAAGGACTATATCTGTGAGGGACAAACTCACAAGGACTATATCTGTGAGGGACAAACTCACAAGGACTATATCTGTGAGGGACAAACTCACAAGGACTATATCTGTGAGGGACAAACTCACAAGGACTATATCTGTGAGGGACAAACTCACAAGGACTATATCTGTGAGGGACAAACTCACAAGGACTATATCTGTGAGGGACAAACTCACAAGGACTATATCTGTGAGGGACAAACTCACAAGGACTATATCTGTGAGGGACAAACTCACAAGGACTATATCTGTGAGGGACAAACTCACAAGGACTATATCTGTGAGGGACAAACTCACAAGGACTATATCTGTGAGGGACAAACTCACAAGGACTATATCTGTGAGGGACAAACTCACAAGGACTATACAGAAAATACTGTACATTTGTGTACACACAGCCAATAACAATGCTTCCATATCTGGACAAAGCAGGAGGCAATCTTGAGGTTACATTATCTTGAGATGATTTTGGGGCTTGGCATCCCTGCGGCCCGGTCCTCGAACAGGCCTCCTCTTTGTTACACACCCCCAGGAAGCAGCCCGTAGCAGCTGTCTAACTCCCAGGTGCCTATTTATTGTTAGGCGAATAGGTACATCAGGGTACAAACTTTTTGCCCATTTCTGTCTGCCTCCACCGGGGATCGAACCCGGAACCTCAGGACCACGAATCTGAAGCGCTGTCCACACAGCTGTCAGGCGCCCTCGTCAGAACGGATGCGAGGCAGCCACGTCCAACAGCCTGGTTGACCAGATAACCAACCGGCAAGCTTAACCAGTGTTCCTCCTCCACCACCAGCCTTCCTTCCTGACCAGTGTTCCCCCACCAGCAGCCTTCCTTCCTGACCAGTGTTCCTCCTCCACCACCAGCCTTCCTTCCTGACCAGTGTTCCCCCACCAGCAGCCTTCCTTCCTGACCAGTGTTCCCCCACCAGCAGCCTTCCTCCCTGACCAGTGTTCCCCCACCAGCAGCCTTCCTTCCTGACCAGTGTTCCCCCACCAGCAGCCTTCCTCCCTGACCAGTGTTCCTGCACCACCAGCAGCCTTCCTCCCTGACCAGTGTTCCTGCACCACCAGCAACCTTCCTCCCTGACCAGTGTTCCCCCACCAGCAGCCTTCCTTCCCTGACCAGTGTTCCCCCCACCAGCAGACCTCCCCAACCACCAGCAGCCTTCCTCCCTGACCAGTGTTCCTGCACCACCAGCAGCCTTCCTCCCTGACCAGTGTTCCCCCACCACCAGCAGCCTTCCTCCCTGACCTTCCTTCCTCCCTGACCAGTGTTCCCACCACCAGCAGCCTTCCTCCCTGACCAGTGTTCCCACCACCAGCAGCCTTCCTCCCTGACCAGTGTTCCCCCACCAGCAGCCTTCCTCCCTGACCAGTGTTCCCCCACCAGCAGCCTTCCTCCCTGACCAGTGTTCCCCCACCAGCAGCCTTCCTCCCTGACCAGTGTTCCTGCACCAGCAGCCTTCCTTCCTGACCAGTGTTCCCACCACCAGCAGCCTTCCTCCCTGACCAGTGTTCCCCCACCACCAGCAGCCTTCCTCCCTGACCAGTGTTCCCCCACCAGCAGCAGCCTTCCTCCCTGACCAGTGTTCCCCCACCAGCAGCCTTCCTCCCTGACCAGTGGTCCCCCACCAGCAGCCTTCCTCCCTGACCAGTGTTCCCCCCACCAGCAGCCTTCCTCCCTGACCAGTGTTCCCACCACCAGCAGCCTTCCTCCCTGACCAGTGTTCCCCCCACCAGCAGCCTTCCTTCCTGACCAGTGTTCCCCCACCAGCAGCCTTCCTTCCTGACCAGTGCAGCCTTCCCCAGTGTTCCTGCACCACCAGCAGTTCCCCCACCAGCAGCCTTCCTCCCTGACCAGTGTTTCCCCCACCAGCAGCCTTCCTCCCTGACCAGTGTTCCCCCACCAGCCTTCCTCCCTGACCAGCAGCCTTCCTTCCTGACCAGTGTTCCCCCACCAGCAGCCTTCCTCCCTGACCAGTGTTCCTGCACCAGCAGCCTTCCTCCCTGACCAGTGTTCCCCCACCACCAGCAGCCTTCCTCCCTGACCAGTGTTCCTGCACCACCAGCAGCCTTCCTCCCTGACCAGTGTTCCTGCACCACCAGCAGCCTTCCTTCCTGACCAGTGTTCCCCCACCAGCAGCCTTCCTCCCTGACCAGTGTTCCCCCACCAGCAGCAACCTTCCTCCCTGACCAGTGTTCCTCCACCACCAGCAGCCTTCCTCCCTGACCAGTGTTCCTCCACCACCAGTGTTCCCTGACCAGTGTTCCTGCACCACCAGCAGCCTTCCTCCCTGACCAGTGTTCCTGCACCACCAGCAGCCTTCCTCCCTGACCAGTGTTCCTGCACCACCAGCAGCCTTCCTCCCTGACCAGTGTTCCTGCACCACCAGCAGCCTTCCTCCCTGACCAGTGTTCCCCCACCACCAGCAGCCTTCCTCCCTGACCAGTGTTCCTGCACCACCAGCAGCCTTCCTCCCTGACCAGTGTTCCTTCACCACCAGCAGCCTTCCTCCCTGACCAGTGTTCCTTCACCACCAGCAGCCTTCCTCCCTGACCAGTGTTCCTGCACCACCAGCAGCCTTCCTCCCTGACCAGTGTTCCTCCACCACCAGCAGCCTTCCTCCCTGACCAGTGTTCCTGCACCACCAGCAGCCTTCCTCCCTGACCAGTGTTCCTGCACCACCAGCAGCCTTCCTCCCTGACCAGTGTTCCTGCACCACCAGCAGCCTTCCTCCCTGACCAGTGTTCCTCCACCACCAGCAGCCTTCCTCCCTGACCAGTGTTCCTGCACCACCAGCAGCCTTCCTCCCTGACCAGTGTTCCTGCACCACCAGCAGCCTTCCTCCCTGACCAGTGTTCCTCCACCACCAGCAGCCTTCCTCCCTGACCAGTGTTCCTGCACCACCAGCAGCCTTCCTCCCTGACCAGTGTTCCTGCACCACCACCAGCCTTCCTCCCTGACCAGTGTTCCTGCACCACCAGCAGCCTTCCTCCCTGACCAGTGTTCCTGCACCACCACCAGCCTTCCTCCCTGACCAGTGTTCCCCA